CAGTACCCCCAGTACCCTGTCCCCCATCCCAGTCCCCCCAGTGCCCCGTTGCCCATCCCCGTGTCCCCGGTGCGGCCCGTCCCCGCACTACAACTCCCGGCGTGCTCCGCGCCGGGCCCGGCAGCCCCGGCAGGCCCCGGCGGAGCGGGACGAGGCCGCAGCGGCGGCTCGGCGGGGCCGGGCCATGGAGAGCCCCGGCGGCAGCGGCTCCCTGCGGGGCGACATCAGTGCGTGGGCACGGGACGGGCTGGGGACACCTCGGGGAACGGCTGGGACAGGAGCTGGGAAGCGGAGCCGCGCCGGGAATAGACGGGAGCTGCGCGGAGCGGCGGGTTTGGGGCTCGCAGGGTGCTTTGGGGCTTGCAGGGTGGGTTTGGGGTTTGCAGGATGGTTTTGGGGGTTAAAGTGTGGGTTTGGGTGTTAAAGAGTGGTTTGGGGGTTAAAGGATGGGTTTTGGGGGCTGCAGGACGGTTTTGGGGTTTAGAGTGTGATTTTGGGTGTTAAAGGGTGGTTTGGGGGTTAAAGGGGGGGTTCTGGGGGTTGCAGGACGGTTTAGGGAGCGAGTGGCCTCTCGCAAGGAAAGGGACAAGGGGATGCTCTGAGGACAGCGTCAGGACACCGGCAACGATCCTTGCTCCTCCCTAATTCCCGGGGAACCATCCCTGCTCCTCCCCGAATTCCCGGGGAACATCCCTGCTCCTCCCTGAATCCCCGGGGAACATCCTTGTTACACCTCCCTGAATTCCCGGGGAACCATCCTGTTACACCTCCCTGAATCCCCGGGGAACCATCCCTGCTCCTCCCTGAATTCCCGCTGCTCCTCCCCGAATCCCCGCGTGCGGTGTTGTGGGGCCGTGGGATCGGGATGTGCCCAAATCCCGGCCGGGCCAGCGGCTGCTCCCGGGTCACCCCCGGGGTTCGTGTCCCGATTCCCGGGGCAGGGACAATTCCACCATCCCAGGCTGCTCCAGCCCCAGTGTCCAGCCTGGCCTTGGGCACTGCAGGGATGCAGGGGCAGCCCCAGCTGCTCTGGCAATTCCAGCCCAGCCAGGAATTCCTCATGGCCAAGATCCCATCCATGGCTGCCCTCTGGCACTGGGAGCCATCCCCTGTGTCCTGTCCCTCTGCAGCTCTCCATCCTCATTTGGATTTGCTCCTCCTGCCATAAAAACCACGAGGAGCTCCAGGCAAGGAAAACCATCCTGCCCAGGGATATTGGCAAAGGAATGAGGATCTCCCAAACCACGGGGGAAAATCCCTGTGAAAATGTTGGGACTCTTTTTATTTTTTTTTTATGGAGAGGCTGCATTAACAGGGAGCTGTTTTTACTCAATGCCACCTCCAAAGCAGCACCCACCTGAGAGGAGGTGACATTGTCACCTCACGGTGCCACGTGAGCCAGAATTGCCCCGTGCTGGGCGCTGAGCAAAAGTGTTGGAGCTGGGAACTTCTTTTTCCAAGCTCCATGGACTTTTTGGGAAGGGATTTTTTGAGTTAGGCTGAGTTTTTTTGGGCTGACTTTTTCCTTGATCCCAGCTCTTTCTCCTTGCAGCCAGCCCATGCTCCTGCAGGAATCCAGAGGGATTTTTGAGTCAGGCTGAGTTTTTCTCTTGATCCCAGCTCTTTTTCCATGCTCCTCCAGGAATCCAGAGGGATTTTTTGAGTTGGGCTGAGTTTTTTTGGGCTGACTTTTTCCTTGATCCCAGCTCTTTCTCCTTGCAGCCAGCCCATGCTCCTGCAGGAATCCAGAGGGATTTTTGAGTCAGGCTGAGTTTTTTTCTTGATCCCAGCTCTTTTTCCATGCTCCTTCAGGAATCCAGAGCTTCTTGGAACAATTTGGGCTGGAAGGGTTGGAAACCCATCTTGTTCCAACACCTTCCACCATCCCAGATTTCTCCAAGCCCTCTCCAGCCCAGCCTGGGACAATTCCAAGGATGGGACAACCACATCTTCTCTGGGAATTCCATCCCAGCTCCTCCCCACCCTCCCAGCCAGAAATTCCATCCCTGTGGGATGCCATTTTCCCCCACATCCACAATTTTACTAATGAACTTAATGATGTTTTGATGTATTTATTATGAAATTAATGTCAATTTCATGGAATTATTGCCATGGGTTTTCCAGCTCCATCATTTCAAACCAGAAGTTCCCCATTGGATTTATGGAATTTCATCCTCCTGCAGGGGCAAAATTGGTATTTTCTACGAAACTGGTATTGACTCCCAAATGGATATTTTCTCCCAAATTGGAATTTTCAGGAGAAAAATCCATATATGAAAAGTCTTCCACCTCTCACTTGGCAGGATGGAGCAATTGTAGTTTTTATGAAATTATTGCCATGGACTTTCCAGCTCCATCATTTCAAACCAGAAGTTTTCCACTGGATGTATGGAATTTCATCCTCCTGCAGGGGCAAAGCTGGGTTTCTCCAAAATTGGTGTTTTCTCCCAAAATTGGTGTTTTTTCCCAAAATTGGTATTTTCTTAAAAATTAGTATTTTCTCCCAAAATTGGAATTTTCAGGAGAAAAACATGTATGAAAAATCCTGCAATTCTCACTTGGCAGGATGGATCAAATGCAGTTTTAATGGAATTATTGCCACGGATTTTCCAGCTCCATCATTTCAAACCAGAACGGATTTATGGAATTTCATCCTTCTGCAGGGGCAGAACTGGGTTTCTCCCAAATGGATATTTGCTCTAAAATTGGTATTTTCTCCCAAAATTGCTCTTTTCTCCCACATGGATATTTTCTCCCAAATGGATATTTTCTCCCAAACTGTTAATTTCCATAAGAAAAACTCATGGAAAAATGAATTTTCCCATCCCATCGGGGACCAAGCACAGCGTGCTCTTTAACGTCACGAAGCGAGCTCACTGCGCAACAGGAGTGACAGACTCTCACCGTTATTTTTCCCCTAAAAAACCCCAAATTTCCCAAATCTGCCTCTTTTCCCCAGGTTTCTGGGCGGACCGCACGCCGGTGCACGAGGCCGCGCGGCGCGGGGAGATCCGGCAGCTGCAGCAGCTGATCGAGAGCGGCGCCTGCGTCAACGCCGTCACCTACGACTCCATCACCCCCCTGCACGAGGCCAGCCTCAGGGGACAGACCCAGTGTGTCAAACTGCTGCTGGACGCGGGGGCCCAGGTGTGCACCCCGCCCTGATCCGCCTGGGAATTCGCCTGGATGGGATTTGGGAGGCGTTTGTGGGGTTGGGGTCACGCCGGTCAGGGCTAGGGGTGAAATGGGGTGGGGGATCTGGAGGGATTTGTTGTGGTTTTGGGGCTTCAGGGTGGGAAAGTTCTGGAGGGGATGGAAGGTGTCCAGGGAATGGAGCTGGGAAGGG